TATATTGTAGAAAGAAAAATGTAAAAAGGCCATATTTTATTACCATAAATCAACAACAAAAACAACTTATGCTACTCGTGTCCTACACATCCTGTTGAAACCAACAGTTTCCAACTTTTTTTGGCTGCCGTACATCGTTGTGTTGGTCATCATAAATGCTATTCAATAACAGTATGTACTTTTGTTACAGGCCATATAAAAAAATAAAGTTGATGAAGATTTCTCCGAAACTAAACGTTGTATTAAAAATCTCTCAAAGCTTTCTTGTAGAGCTCAAAAAGTGGCAATGAGAAAGTGTTTTTTTGTATATGTTCAAATAGAATCAGAAACAAATAAAAAGAAAATCGGCAAATTTCGGTTTTTCTGGCATATCCTCAAATTAAAAGAAAACTCAACGAAATTATTGCATAAATATCGATTTCAAAATCTCAAAATGTAGTAGAATTCATTTTTGGACTACCCAGAAAAATCCTGCGTACGTGCAATGATCCTTATGGTTCAGGTAATAAGACTGAAGACAAGATTTTCTTCGCTCAGACGCTCGAATGGAAAAAGCACACACTAAATCTTGAAAATTGTAGAGGAAGTTACGGCATGCACACACAGACCAATAGAGAAAGTGGTTCATGGTTGTAGTGTAAGCTAAAAACCTTTTGTAGAGGATTTGAGGCTTTACAAGCCTTCATGAAACTTCGAGTTTTTCTTCAATAAATCTCAAACAAAGCTTATTTGAGAGCGTTTTAAGACTCATCAAGAGAAATCTCTTGCTTTCTTGAGATTTTAGGCTCTTCAAAAACCTTTAAGGGTACCTATTTGAACTTAAAAGGCTTTATTAGAGTTTAGCAGCTGCTAAGGACACATATTCGCATTAGTGCCCTTTAGATTCTTCAACAAGCCTTTAACGTACCTTTTTAGTTTTTGATAGTCTTATATTTAAAATCCGAAGCTAAAACGCCTTTACTTTTCTCCAGTTTTAGGGAACCGCATTTACGGGTTTTTAAAGGTCTGTGAGAGTCTTTAAGTATCGCCAACAGTTTCTAAAGAAACCTAGAAACTCCATGCATCTTTTAGAGGCATACAGAGAGTTCAATTAGCTTTTTGTGCCGTTGAAAGCTCTTATGACCTTTTCAAATTTTTAATAAGTAAGTTTTGTTCAAAAGACCTTTAAAAACATTTAAGAACGTATAAGAACTGAGCTTTTAAAGAGTATTATGAGAACTTTAAGGGCCTGTGAGAATCGCCGATAATGTCAAAGAACCTCCAAATACGTTTGTGGGTTTCCAAAAGCTTTCTAGATTGCTTTAGTGTAGTGTGTAAAACTGTAATCCCTATACAACAATTAAACGGATTTTTATCTGCCGTCTGCTATCCCAAATTTTACTTTTTTATGGTTTGGTTACTGCAGACTTCTTCCCTTAATATTCTGAAACATTTTTCTCTTCTGAACTTGTTAGCAAACAAAGAACGCCAAATGGCCATATAACTGTGCATTGAAATTAATTCAAAAATGAAATACTTCCACATGCACCTTTATTTGCACATGAACTTTTTTTTACAATCAAATTTTTCATTTAACATTTTTTACCAAATAAACTCAGCAAGAAAATGAACCTTGAATTTGACAAATTGGTGTAGTACTGAAAGCGTGGAAAAAAACTCCTTAAAACAAATGTTAATTCTAAATCCGAACCTATTGATTTGGTTGAATCTTTAAGACTAACCAATTAAAGCTTTACGTTAGAGTTTATGCAAATTCCTTTTTCAATAATGATTGAATACTTAAACGGAAATAAATAAAACCTTGAACTAAAAATTTTCTCGTCCATGGAATGGGTTGAAGCCTTTAGCATCTAGCTATAGCCGCATAGTTATAATACAGATGCTATTAGATGTTTTTTTCAGGAAAATGTATTTGGAAACCCATCGGTATTATATACTATATAATATTATATTATATTTCTGGTTATAGATAATACTCTTGACTTGACTTGGTTACAATGGGATCGACTTCAGTTTTTGTGTGTTACTGGTAAATGGAAATTACTTTCTGAGAACATGATATGTGTACAGTGTACACCGCTCAGTTTACTGAACTTTCATAATAATAATAATGTCTTTTATTAAGTTACATACACACAATTAAGTAAAAAATAAACTAAATGACATATTTCAAAATTAAAGTAATGCAATTTAAGGGGCGAAGTTCAGTTAGTGTAGGCGACTGCCTCCAATTCTGCTCTTCCACTTAACCCAATCATTTAATAAATTATTACAGAAAAGAGTTAACACAATACACAATGGCACAATTTATGACTCAAATAATAATAATACTAAAAAAAAAAATAAAAACAATAAAATAAAAAAAAAATGTGTTGAAGCGTTAATATACTTCCTATGATGGTACTAATTAATGCAAATAGTTACATTGCCTGTCAAACATGGTCTGGCGAATTAATTTTTTAAATTTAGAGGTATTTAGTTTTTTAAGTAAGTTATCAATTGCGTTATTCGCTATACAGTAATTAAAGGATCTTTCATAGAACGATGTTTTATGGCAAGGTGGTTTAATTAACGAAACAAATTTAGAATTACTGCTAAATTCAATTTTATTGTATAGATAAAGTGGTGTTCTGGACGTGACAATTTTATGATATAAAACAACAGAATGTACATATCGCCGATTTCCCATATTCAACCAATTTAAGTCTTTTAATTTGTGGGATATGTGTTCATATTTTCTTATACCATAAATTAATCTCAAGCGAGAGTTTTGGATTTTTTGAATTCTATTTACGTCGGCCAAATCTAAACAAGGACCGTAAAGAGCGTCGCAGTAATTGAAATGTGATAGAACCAATGCCTCACACAGTATAGTTCTGACATGTTGACTCAGACTGAAACGATTACTGTTTAGTTAGACTGTTTAGTTAGAAAAAATCCTCTGTAAGCAGTTGCACAAAAAATACGATTATATTGATGTCTCCAAAAATGGAATCGATTTCACTAAGAAATATTGACAGATTTTTAGTTATAATTTCGGCACTTTCATTTACTTGTCGGTTTTTTTTAATACGTCACGAAATACAAAGCAAAGTTTTTCTTTAACGCATAATAATGAACTCGTTTGGTCAGCATCGATGGTAAAATAAAATACCTAGAGGGAGGTTCGCTCCTAAAAATGAAAAACCAGCGATTTGTTCAACTTCGTCACTTAAAAAATCGTAGACCATAACAAATTGTATTCATTGGAGGCCATTCTAATTTTTTTTGTTTAGGGTTTTCTTAGTACCACAATTATAGTTACTAGGGCATGACCTGTCGTGGCGAATGAAGAGCGTGATTGCTCTCCCTCATTGTTTACTAACATTCAAGAGATAACATTCCAAGAATCTTTTCAACATCCTTGTAGCTTATCCCTATCTCAACTAACAAAGAGGAAACCGCCAGCGGGTCACCGTTTGTGTAATCTTTTCTCAATAATTAAATAATTATAGAGCAACGTTTCAGTTTGTTACTATCAACGCGCCAGTGTCTATAATTATGGACGTTTCCATATCTGGTATACCCAATATGTTAGTGTACGTTTTAATTGGCCTATGGTTTTCGAACGTAAGTGCCCAACATGACTACTACCATCAGCCTTACCCTGATTTTCGACTAGCAGAAAACCACGAAGAGATCGTGCTACCACACATCATAAAGGCACCCTGCGTAAATGGTAGACGTAATGGTGTACGATGTAGGGAGGCTTTCATTGTTCAAGAAAGGTTGCGTCTCTTTGACAACTGTCTAAATAATTGTTAATCTAAGCCACTTACTAATTTTTCCTTTTGTTGCAGATCTTGAAATCCATGGATGCCGATGTGGAATCCGCGATATCCATAAGTCAGAATGTAGCATTTTAGTTAATAGTGACGTAGAAGTTGTAGAAATAATGGTCGATTTGAGATCTGACAGTAACTATAATTGTTAGTTTCTGTATCCTTCTCAATTCGACTATCAGTATTACATTATTATAATTGTAGAACAGGCATAACCAATGACAGTAATAGCTGGAATTAAATATACTTAATGTTTGAAAATATAAGGTAAATTATATATTTTGTATTGTACCATAGCGCGTTATGTTTATAACGGTAAAGTGGAGAGAAAGAGTGGAATGAAGCATTAGAAACATTAGGCAAATTAATAGGCATACATTCAAAATTTGAAAAAAATACATAGTTTTGCCATTTCCAGTGCTCATCTTTAACAAAATAAAAAAAATTTGATTGTGGATGGGTAACATGTGATCAAATGTCTAATCAGAAAAAAACCATGGTTTGTTTTGGACGGGTGCATTCAAATTACATTGATATTTTTCATTATATGAATTTATCTCAGCCTTCGAGGGTCGGACACGTTGGGCAATTGCTGCACAGAGGGCCAGATCCGTAACATCTGTTTTTACCGGTTCGACCCCTGAGCCTTCGGTTTCCTGTTATGAGGATCAGGCAGAACAACCGCAATTAGATGTAATGAATATTTTGGGAAATAAAAAGGCGGATCAAAATCTCAAAGGAGGCAGCATTCACACCGATTGAGTGACTAGGTGGATGGAAATCTTGCGTCTTATCGACAAAGACCGTGAAGAATTGCTAAACCAGTACCACGCGCCCCAAAATTGTTGTGAGATCTGCCCTCCAATTTTAACTAATCTGTCCACTGCCTTCAAGAGCGTTGCCAGAGAAAGGGAGGAAAGGACAGCTGCCCCCTTCTAGAAATTAAAAAATGTTGTAAAATACAAAGTAACCAAAGTCAAAGGTCAATTGACTTTATTGGTCGATAACTTCTTATTACAATTGTTCTGGTTATCGAGGTAAGACAGTACAAGAGTAAAACTTTATGGGTCTGCACTATACCTACATTTAATAATTTTTGTTATCCTTTAGATGTCAATTTGCCCCTCCCAGGGCCACCAGCTGGCGTCTGCTTTGCACACATTTGTGTCAATCCTTCCTCGACGCCTGAAAAATTCATAGAGATTTTTAGCGATGTCGCAAGGATCTTATGTAACTTGCAACACTACGAATCCTTACTCCGCAGAAGTTTAATTATAAATTACGTGAACGAATCCTTTAAGGAGGCAGTGGCTGAGGGTAATATTGACACCTACTTGTTTGGATCTGATTTGGAGAAACGCCTTCAAAACGCAAAGGTCATGGAACGGTCTAGATAAGATCTCAAGAAGAAGAAAAGTGACAATAAACCCTCCAAAGGTACAAAAAACCTCACATACAATTTGTGTTGAAGAAGACCCTAGATTTACAAGTCTCAGCAGCAGCATCGAGGCAGACATTAGTTCAAGAATCATCCAACGGAGATACAGAGGCCCCGTCGCAGGAATTACTTAACCCAATCTCGACTTGTATAGATGAAACTGTTTTATCTTGGATAAAGGGCTCTAAAACTCCTGGTGTTCAAATACAATTTCAACGGAAAATTCCTTCGGAACCTCGATGGTGGCATGGGGAAAAGTTGGCCATTAGGAAGAATATTGATGCTTTGTTACTTGCGGAAGGTGCTGTATCCAGAAGCACCCCTTGCAACGGACAATTCGTTTCAAGAATTTTCTTAGTTCCAAAAAAGGTTGTTCAACAGTCAACAGGTTGTATCAAATTTAAGGAAATTAAATTTATTTGTTATCGCCGTAAAACGAGTACAAAAAGCAATGCATCTCAAAATCGAAGACATCAAGGTTGCTTTAAATTTATTAGAAGATGATTTTTCATGGCCTCTCTGGATTTAAAAGAGGCCTGACACCTTGGTACCTGTTCACGTCGAAGTTTCCCTTTGAGGGGATCCTTTACCACTTTAACTGCCTTCCTTTTGGTCTTACTTCTGCCCCATATGTGTTTAGGAAATTAATCAAACCTGTTGTTTCTCATTTGAGGGCAAAATGTTTTTTATCATTCGTCTACAATACAATTTTTAGAAAAACCTGGATTTATTATTAACTTTGAAAATAGTGAATTGCAATTTGTAGATTTTTAGTTCTATTATTAAGTCTGGTAATGACTATCGAACTTCCTTCTGGTAAAAAAGCAAAAATAATCTTGGAATTAACACAATACCTAAGAGAGAAATGCAAAATCTAGGTTCTCAAGCTTCTCTCTAGTTGCATTAGCATGAGGTATGACTGGGTTTATAGTAAAGTTTTGAAAGTGGAGAGAGCCTTGGCACGTTTGGGTAGCTATGATAAAATCATGGTTCTCCCGTACAATGTAAGGGAACACCTTATTTGGTAGAAACATGTTTTATGTGCTTCCTTCAATTATATTAAACTACCAAAATTTTCTTTGGCAACTGGAGTTGCTTGCTGCCTTTCTGGGGTCACTAGGTCAATAGGATGGGCGGTACCCAAAGTAAGAATGGCGAGACTAGCTAAAGGAATCTGGCAATGGAGCGAAGCTAGAGGACTATGGATTAACGCTTTATATATTCCCTCACGATCTAATATTTGAGATATCGCTTCCTGTAGGTTACAACTTAGATTTTGTCCTTTTTAACATTAATCAAAACGCCAGGAAGAAACAAGAGACAACTGTTTTCACATCTTCCTTTTTATTGTGACAAAAATCTTCTCCTCACCTACCCTGTGTTGCGGTATAGTTGCTTTCAAATCAATGGCATCAGCGAAGATCGTGGAGAAACCTGTCTTACCGACTTTTTTTTTTAAATTTTAAATGTATGGCGCGTTATCATACAATTATGATTAAACTTCACTAAGGTACGTTTAATCATTTAAATTAACCAGCAAAGAAGTTTTTGTCCAGCAAATTGTGTTACACAAATATCATGCAACCATTACCCGGTTTAAATACAGGTTCGCGTATGGATTTGTATAAGAGCCTGTTGGTTAAAAACATACCTATCAAATAAAATAAAAATAACATTGTGGCAACAATGCCCGAACACTGCCCTAGAGTTTTTATAATCCGTTTAAAGGATACCTGTCGCCCATATTTGTAAGAAGTGAAAAAAATATACTCCACAAAGGACCCCTGTGGAACATTAGTGCGCAAAGAAAGTTAAAATCAAGATTGTGCACAAAATATTGAACTTAATACTACGAATATAGAAATGAAACTACGGGAAGATTAACAAATGTCATCCATATAATAGGTAAGCAATGAGAAGATAAATTTATTTATCTGTAAAGCAAGTAAATAAAACCGTTATATGCACACGACCAATAAGTAATTCCTTTGTCAACTGAAAAAAGGAGGTTAGTCACTACGATACTAAATCAAAATATCCTACCGGTGAATTATGAAGTTTTCCCTACATCCCCTATGAGTCCGTCTACCACCATTACATGGTACTTGTATTATGCTATTGCTCATTTGAATATGATTTAAATCAGACAGTGTCCGATTTATTGGCGATAAAGAGTCACTCTGGACCGCAGTGATTAACAAAACAGTACAACACACTAGACTGAGAAGCATTTTTAATTGAAAACTGATGAGGATCAAAGTGTACTGGAGCTAAATGCGCCTTTTAGGTTTATATAATGCTTTAGTACCGAGATGTTAACACACATGGTAGCGGGAAAAACCGCAATATCTGCAATAATATTAACACTTGATAAGCGGTCAACAGAATGTGAAACTTTAAATATCCAAACTTTGCTCTTGTTGTATTTACTATTTCATTAGTCTATTTATCTTAAGGCGTCTATGATATAAAACAAATTTTCTAAGCGGAGTATGTAAAGTTTATTTGGATACGTAGGTTTACCTTTAAAATTCAAAAAAAGAATAATTTTTCTCTATTTACCCTTGATTAGAATTTGTCATAAATGACTACTGGCTAATAAGGTTCCTATTAACCATAAATGCGTTTTGCTGCATTATCCGATAACAAATCCGTTAGTTTCATATCGAACAAGTTTAGAAGCTCACTGCGTCGAAAGTTGTATAAACCAAACATGCCATCGGGTTTACTAAGAAAAAGTACTACCAAATTTAGAGGAACCATCGCTGATTAAGATGGACAATGCTAATTTTCACAGTAGCTTACTGGAAAACCTTCCAAATTCATCCTGAAGCAAAACACAACTACAGACATGTCTACAGCTCAAAAAAGTTGAGTTCACAAGTGATGCATAAATAGTAGAAGTGCTGGAGATTGTTGGCAAGCTTTGTTTCCTTACATTCCATGCGGTATGGTTTGATCGTAGGAATACTTTTAGTTTTGAGACTAAAAATTTATTATTTTAGAAACAAACCCTATACGATATTTTTAACCAGTGCCAGTACCAGTAACTTTTGTTGAAGAAGTAACTGTTTAATAAAATCAATAACTCTGTCTATTATGTTTTCTAGTGAAAAAAAGTTTTACATGGTGGGATGTTTCATTGCATCCAACCCTTCTGTAATAGGAATTGGTCTTAATAAGCCCAAAAAATACAATTATATATAAAATTAAACCATAAAGTGTTACACAGCATTGAATGAATTTAAGATACAATTTGGAACATCAAGGACGTAGTAAAACAATCAGCATTGAATTCAGAGTAAAAGTGATTAAGGAATATGATTTCGGAATATCAGGGACCTATTTAAAAAAATGAAGTTGATGATGGTTCCGCAAAGACAAACCGTCGGATAGAAAAATTAACAACTTCACCTTAAAGCGCATTAAAAGTCGCAGAAGTGACATTGGTTTTTCTCTAGCGCCAGAAAAAAATAATTCGTAAAGTAGAAAAATCCGATTTTTTCAAAATATTTCAAAATCCAACAAATTTTTCCGGGCTTTCCAAACGCTACCTTTTTAAACCTTTCATTATGCAATTTTTCTTTCATTTAACCAAATTCGTTAATAATTTTTTTTATTTAAGAATATTTGATTTTTATTCGAAGACCATTTTAGATATATGGATGTAATTACAAACGCATAATTTGTCCGTGAAGGCAAAAGAGATGGTTTCCATTATACAATTTTAATTTCTCAATATTGAAATTTGTTTTTCTGAGCATCCTGTATGCACTTTTTGAAAAGTTGTTACATATTGCTTAGGAACGTATCTTATTATCATTGTATTATTTTTAAAAAGCATGGGCCTACCTTGAT